ATCTCAATACTTAAATATGGACCTGAGACAAATATAATGGTCCTTATCAATGTCCATTATTTGTATCATTGTATCTCAGTACTTAAATATGGACCTGAGACAAATATAATGGTCCTTATCAATGTCCATTATTTGTATCATTTGTATCATTGGTATTGCTGATAGCAAATGTGTACATTCCTGGAGGGTTAGTACAGCATACTGTTTAAGAGTATGCACCCCAGAACTAGACCTAGTTTGAGTCCAGCCCCACCACTTACTAGCAGTGTGACTTGGGCTAAATTACTTCACCTCTCTGGGCCACCGTTTCATCATAATGTTGTGAGTATCTAATAAGTTACCACATATAAAGCATTTAGAAAAATTTCTGGCATGTAGCATACATTCAGTAAATGTTAGAGATTATGTGACTCAGTTTTGTTTTCATTCAAAACTTGTATTAAAGAGATGTTCCACATCAAAGACTTCTAGTTGGCTGTTAATTCCTATACTTATGTGTATTTAGTATACTTCCTGGTTTATGTGTATATGTGTGTAATCTATATGATATACATATTATGTATAAACCATATAGTGAATATGATTATAGGTGTATGAGTATATATGTGCACACATATACAAAAGAGAGAATAAGAATCAAAAAAATTTGAGGCAAAATACACAATACAATAAATTGAAAGAAATCTTATCCTTAGGTCCAACCTTTCATGTTGATAAGACATTTACCTTTTCAAAGATCTCCACTTTTAAGTAGTTGCCACTTGGAGCTTGAGAGGTCTGTTTCTTGAGCTTGAGCTATTTGTTCTGCTGTTTGTGTTTGTTAAGTGTTTCCCTCAATATGTATTCTTCAACATACATTTTGAAATAATCTTGTTAGGAAGCACAGTCTTCCTTAAAACTTGATACAGGATCAGTTCATGTAGTTTGGTGGTTTCTTAACTTCTAGACCAACATTTTGTAATGTAAGTTTTATGAGGTAGTCCATAATTTGCCAGAAAACAAAAGTCAGAGGCTTCTTTTCTTAAGCATAAGTCATCTTCCCAAGGTAGTTAGCTGGCACATATCCTTTCCGCCCCTGAGCTTCAGCTAACCACCACTCTTTATTGCCACTTAAGTCACAAAATCTAAGGATGTGTACTCTTTGATATTCCTGAAGGCTAAGTTCATGGTCACTTCGTGCTTGAAAGGCATGAACTGCATAGAAAATCTAGACCAAAAAAAAAATGACATTATTGGAAGCAGGACCTAAATATTTAGACAAACATAATAAAGATATCTAAGCTTTTAGAAAGAATGCTAAGTTTTAATTTTTTCAAAGTCACCTTCCCCAGTTCCTTCTGTTAGATTTATTTTGTTTGCTAAAACATGACCCAGAAGAGAATACAGTTCAATAGGCATTCTTACTGTTCTGTGGGGAGGAGTCTAAACTGCCTAAACTGTCTAAACTGCCCATGCTTGAAGGCAATCTGACAGTTTCTATTAAAAGATTGGGAACATCTGGGTAGCTCAGTGGGTTAAAGCCTCTGCCTTTGGCTTGGGTCATGATCCTAGGGTCCTATGATCAAGCCCCACATCAGGCTCTCTGCTCAGTAGGGAGCCTGCTTCCTCCTCTCTCTCTCTGCCTGCCTCTCTGCCTCCTTGTGATCTCTGTCAAATAGATACAATCTTGAAAAAAAAATAAAAGATTGATTGATTGATTGATTTTTTATGTAGGCTCTATACCCAACGTGGTGCTTGAACTCACGACCCTGAGAGCAAAAGTTGCATGCTCTACTGACTGACCTAGTCAGGTGCCCCTAAAAGACTTTAAAATGTCAGTTGTTGTTTTTTTGTTTGTTTGTTTTTGTTTTTTTTCAGTAATAGCTCTTGAAGAATCTCTCCTACAGGGGCTCAGTGGGTGGCTCAGTCAGTTAGGTGTCTGCCTTCAGCTTAGGTCATGATCCCAGGACCCTGGGATGGAGCCCCAAGTCAGGCTCCCTGCTCAGTGGGGAGCCTACTTCTCCCTCTCCCCTTTGCTTGTGCTCTCTCTCACTCTCTCCCTGTCATATAAATAAAATCCTTTAAAAAAAAATCTCTCTTACAGAAATAGAAACATTGGCAGAGATTTTATATAATAATATTATTGCAATATCCATTCACAAGGTAAAAAGTGAGAGGGAAATAGTAACACTAAGTGTTCAGTAAGAGAATAGTTAAATCTATTCTAGACCTTTACACTAAGGAAATTCTTAGTCATTAAAAATGCTATTTTCTGAAACTAATAGCATGGGCAAATGTTTATGATGAAATGGTAAGCCAAAAAAAAAAAAAAGTTATCAAATCAGATATACAGTATAAGTCTGATAGTGATAATTTCTTTGGTAGAATTAGAGATGATTTTCATTTTTTACTTATTTTTTTAACCTATTTTATAATGACAGTGCATTAAATTTATAATCTTTAAATTATTTAAGAGGCCTGGAAGAAATTAATAAAACATGCTTCGGTCAAAAGAATTTTTCTTTAATCTCAAAAGAATACTTCAGAATTATTAGATGCATAAGAAACCCCTAAGTGTTTATAGTCCCTCTTCCACTAAAATTGTAAGATTGATAACAAAACTGTTTAGTTATATCATAAAATTAAGCAACTAACAATATTTTATTCATTATTCATTTAATCAAAATTTATTAAGTACCTGTCAAGTGCCAGATATTATCAAAGAACTTACAGCCCAGCTAGGGAGAAAATGTGCTCCCAAAAATGTACACACACACACACACACACACACAAAACAAAAAACACACCACTCACATAAGTGATATATGTGAGCTGGTTTTTGAAAGAGGTAACCTTGTATAAGTGACAAAATTGATAAACAAGGTGGATATGTCATATTCTAAGATACATAGAATGAAATAATATATGAGAAAGGCAAGCAGATTAATTTTCTCAAAATTGAGGGTCAATGTTAAAAGGAAATGGTAACAAATAGGATGACTTCATTGAGCAGGAAGAGACTGGTGGAGGGGGGCACCATATACTTAGCTTAAGTTGTTCTGTAGATGTTGAACTGTTATTTAACTTTAGGTAAAATTTTGATATCATTGATTTTATATCACCTCAACAACTCTAGCATGAGCTCCACCTCAAAGACAGGAGCATTTATGGGGTGCCTGGTTGTCTTAGTCAGTAGAGCACGTGACTCTTGATCTTAAGGTCATGAGTTCAAGCCCCAGGTCAGGTGTCAAGCTTACCTTAAAAAAAAAGGAACATTTAAATTTTTCTCCACTGACCACATGATGGTACGCAGTAGAAATTCAGATATATGTTAATTCAACTTAAAAGTTAGGCCAAAAGTCTCGGCTATTATACAAGAACATAAAAGAGATAATGTTGCATCATACAAGATACACACAAGACAGATTGTTGGGCATGGATTATTTTGTAATATAAAAATTAAAAAAGAGAGACTCCTGGGTGGCTCAGTTGGTTATGCATCTGCCTTCGGCTCAGGTCATGATCTCAGGGACCTGGGATCAAGTCCTGCATTGGGCTCCCTGCTCAGCAGGGAGTCTGCTTAAGGATTTTCTCTCTCTCCCTCTGCCCCTTTCCTCTACTCATGTTCACTCTCTCTCTCAAATAAATAAATAAAATCTTTAAAAAAATTTTTAAATAAAAAGCAAGAAAACAGGAAGATGTTATAAATTCTTAAGTGGGGGTGGCGGCAACAACAACCATCTTTTCTATGCTCGTGACAGTTTACATGTCCAATGTGTTTTATCCTCAACAACCCTGTGAGTTGTGACTTAGAAAAGTAATATGTATTAGTCATATACTTTGTGCTGCTATGACTGTATCTTCTAACTCCAAATTCTGTGCTTGGTTCATTTCTTATACTACTTTAGGAAGCAAACTCTTATTCTAAAAAGGATGTGCAGAGTGTATTCTTGTGGAAAGGAACTGAGGTCTCTGATATGTTGCTGCTGATCTTTTCGTTGTTGATTAGAAAATGAAGACATTGCTTAGATTCACAAGAGCAGAATGGAGCATCTGGTGGGCAAAAGCTTTCAAGAATACAATGCGCCATAATACAGTTTCTGATTATTTGTAAGAGCCCATGTTAGCAATTGCTAGCCAACTTTTACAATTATAATACACAACATATATGCATTGCCAATGCAGCTATAGATTGTTTAGCAGGTTGAATTACCTACTAATATAAGATTTTTAAATATTTGTGGTGGTCTTTCACTTTGGCAATGTTCTCTCAAAGGGAATATAAAATCTTCCACTTAAATCTATTTCGTATGAGGAGTGCCTGGGTGGCTCAGTTAGTTAAGCATCTGACTCTTGATTGAGGCACAGGTCATGATCTCAGCATCATGGGCTTGAGCTCCGTGGCTGGCTCCATGAGGTTCTCTCTCTCCCACTGCCCCTCCCCCAACTCGTGCTTGCTCTCTCATTCCCCGCCCCCCCATCAAATAAATAAATACGTCTTTTAAAAAAATCTATTTTGGGGTGCCTGGGTGGCTCAGTTGGTTGAGCGACTGCCTTCGACTCAGGTCATGATCCCGGACTTCCAGGATTGAGTCCTGCATTGGGCTCCCAGCTCCTTGGGGAGTCTGCTTCTCCCTCTGACCTTCCCTCTCATGCTCTCTCTCACTCATTCTCTCTCAAATAAATAAAATCTTAAAAAAATAAATAAATAAAAAATCTATTCTGTATGAAATTACAGTGGAGCATATATTTTAAATACTCATGAAATTGTAAATTTGAAGTACACAACCATATACTTTAAATACTGTAAGTGATCATGGCCCAAAATAAATTCAGGATGAGCATATTTCAGCTTTATATGTTTATGCCTCCTATTTAACACAAGATAGATAGTCAGAATGGAACCAAGTCCACTTTAAAGAGACAGCAGTTGATAACGTTGGACCATAAGTTAGAAGTTTTCAGCCTATTATACATAGAAGCTGAAGAATTTCTCCTTTTTTGGAATACTTTAATTGTTCTAGGCTGTATCTTTCTAACCTTTAATATTAATGTTTTGCTCCAGATACATTAATTGTTATTAACTTAAGCCATAAACATCTGATCCTTCTCCCTTTTCCCTCAGCAATTATTCAAATAGATTTTATTGGTTGCTTCTTTGCACTTTGGCTCATTTTATGTACAAGAGCTATGAATACAACCCAGTTCTCTATGACATTACCTTTTTTTAAATAACACTCTATTGTATTATTGACTCCTACTAAATTTATTACCCACTGTTTGTTTTTTTAAGATTTTTATTTATTTATTTGACAGAGATCACAAGTAGGCAGAGAGGCAGACTAAGAGAGAGAGAGGGAAGCAGGCTCTCTGCTGAGCAGACAGCCCGATGCGGGGCTCAATCCCAGGACCCTGAGATCATGACCCAAGCTGAAGGCAGAGGCTTTAACCCACTGAGCCACCCAGGCACCCCTTACCCACTGTTTATGACCACCAGATCCCTCCCTGCAGCAGCATTGCCAGTTCAGTATCCCCTTGTTCTATATTTGTGCACTTAGTTATTCCTCCCTTTGGGAGCCATTTTAGCTGTCTTTACTGAATCTCATTTTACCAATTTCATCTCAGTTTTTCAATTAACAACAAAAATAATACTATATTTTAATCTTCCAAAACTAAAAATTTAGCTACAAAACCATATTACATCATATGTAGTTCAGAAAGCCAAGATAGTTATATTGCATGAAAAATGTTCTTTCTTCTCTTCATCCCTCCAGGAGCAAGCTTTCACATTCTTCAGTGATCAGTTATGTATTGTTATTATGCACGTAATTTTTAATAAAGAAATGATTTTAAATAAAGGTAATAAGAAATCACCCAACTGTATTAATACCTATATTTCTTCCCTTCTTTCCCTTGTCCTTCTCTTCTTCCTTTTTTTCCTTCTAACTACCTACCTAAAATGACAATAAACACGAAATTATAGTATACATAATTTTTGCAACCTGTTTTTTACTCTAAACTATATTTGACAATCTTTTCAAGTCAATAAACAGCTCTCTAAAGCATCATTTTAATGACTACTTAAATATATTACATTACATCCTGCTGGCTTTTGTAGCACTGTCTAAACAATGACATATTAGACATGTAGCATTATCATCAAATGTAGCTGAAACATGTAAAGGTGAAGGACCAGACAGTGAATTAGTGCCAAAACAACCTTTCAGA